CCGGCCCGGGCCACAACCCCGCGCCCCCCCGCATCGGCAGGCGGACTCTCAACCACTGCGCCACCAGGGAAGCCCGGACATAAATACTTTTAAAACCACCATTAGTATTCTCTTCCACACTTTCTAAAGGGACCATTCCCCATTCAGGGGAGCCACCTATTGCCTTGAGGAGGATGAAGATAACGTGGTAAGCAAAGACGAGGAAAAAGACAAAATGACACCACTGACTTCCAAAAGAGGATTTGCGTGTCTGTCATCAGACAGCAAGTCTAAATCAGGCTTCCTTGATGGAGAGGAGTTCCCTCAATTCCAAAGGCTCCTTGTCATCAGGAGGTAAGCCAGGTGGGCAGGGATCCCCAGAACTGCTCTAGAAGCCACAGTGAAGAGCACCATGGCCGGGCCACGTGTGTATGGGAAGTTGCTGCGAGACAGGAAGGCAAGATAGAGAGCCTTCTGCCCTGGGAGAAAGGGAGTTGAGAGGAAGAGCGGTGAGAGATCAGCCCTGAGGATATTGCTGCCTGCAGTATTTGTAAGCCATTGAGCCAGCCCCTCCCAAGCGGATGAGACCCCAGTAATAACTCTGCACACTGAAGCTCAGTGGGGCTTCCTGGTTGGTGAGCACACTGATGTGCCCGGGGGGGATGCCCCCGATTCCATGAGGAGACGGCAGGGAAACTGTGTCCCCTCCCAGAGATCGTCCTACGCCCCTCTTCAGTTGGCTGGCCCTCCTAATTTGTATCTTTCATAATAAAACTGTAACCACCAGTAGTGCTTTCCTGATCTTGTGATTCATTGTAGCAACTTACTGAACCTGAGGGGGTCATGAGAACCCCTGAACTCAGAGCCCGTCAGTCAGCAGTGCAGGTGGCGCAGGGACACCCAAAGTGTGGCTGGCATCGGAAGTGAGCCCAGTCTTGTTGGGGAAACTGAGCCCTTTAACTTGTGGGGTCTAACTCTGGGTAGTTCGTGCCAGGACTGAATTGCAGTACACCTAGCTGGGGCTGAAATGAATACTCACCCTTCAGGCTCCAAGCCTGGTATATTTGGGGGGGGTTGGTGCAGGGAGCAAGAGGTATGAGGCTACAAAAATATCCGGGGGCACATTTACTATGAAGGCATTAATGAAGCGTGAGCTTTAGGACTCTCACTTTACAAGCCCCTCCCGAGGCTCTGGGAGGGTCCCTCACTGTGCATTCATATGGTCAGATACTTTGACAGAACTTGTAAACGTAAGACGTTCCTGTATTGCTTGTTTTAAAGAGCTCCCTGACCCACCCAACCGTCAGATTCTAGAGGCTTCAGGCCTGACAACCCCCTGGTGGAGAGGCAGCGATTTTTGCAAAAAGGGGCTGAACTCTCTTGCCTGTTCTAGCACAGTGGGTAGAAAGCAACCAAGAGTTTGAAGATTCCCAATGAGGGCACAAAAGAGCTGAGAGCACTACAAGACCAGAGAGGCTGACAGTCTTCATGGGACTTCAGACTGCAGGAAAGCTGACCACTAGAGACTCGGGCCGGGACCCCAGACCTTAACAGCACATGTCATCAAAGACGCCAAAAGAATAAGGTGGGACCTGCTGCACGTCGAGACCTCCAGGGACAGAACAGACCAGTAGTCCTGCGTTGAGCCCAGCAGAGATCCACAGGACAGGATGCCTGCCCCAATGCCATGATGAAACCCTAGCTTCTCCCTCTATCCAGATGCCACCTTGGGGAGGAAGATGGGAAGGAGCTCCGAGGAGAGGAGAGAAGCGCATACAGGGCATGGATGTTGAACTGACTATTCCCAAAAGATAAAGTTCACTTGAGACTGGCGAACACCAAAGAAATTTAGGTTTCCTCAATGGAAACTCAGATTCCAAAACAATTTTTAAAAACCTTAAACAAACAAACAAACTGAGCTGTGTTTGAAACTGTGATTCTCTTCATTTAAAATAACATGAATACAGAACAATTTTTTTAAGTCTTCCAGCTAAACAGATTGTCTAAAGGACACTGTGGGAATTTTTAGCATACTATGATTATATAATAAAACCTGTTTGTGATGAAACCATAACACAATTTTCACAGAAAGTGGCCACAGCACTTCAATTCAACCTAAGTGTTCTGAGGCAGCGACTGCAGCCTCATCACCAAAATCTTACCTTCCTGGGCTCACAGACAGACCACATCTCCCACTCTCCCTTATAGCTAATGTGGCCACAAGCCTGAGCTCTAGCCAATGGGATGCAAGCGGAAGCGACAGAGATCCAGGCAGGCCTGGTCCTTAGAACTCAACACGCACCACTCCCTGCTGTGCTCCCTGCTTCCAGCTCACAGGGATAGTAGGAGTGACTAAGCTGGACAGAGACTCTTCAGCCTGGATCCCTGAACGGCCACGTGGAGAACAGTTTGCCCCCGCCAACCACAAACACCCACCCTGGACTTCTATGTGCGCAAAAAAATTCTCCTTTTTTGGACAGGCCCACGAACAGGGCATGTTTAGGTCCATCTGTTGCAGGAGTGAACATTACCCGAGGCTATACTCTTATACATCAGTCCAGGGCTATTTCAATCTGGCAATCCATGGGCACTGACTATTTGCACACAGAAGTCCTAACAAGATCCAGCATATCAACAAATCAGGAAAGCAAGTATGTCGGCAACTACCAAGAATACTAGGAAGTTGGATTTGAGCCGGGACAGAAGAACAGGCCAAGAAATTCAAGAGCCCGGGGGAAATGCAATTAGTATTTACTTGTGAAGGCATCACAGAAGTGGTAGCATTTGAGTTGGGCCCTGAAGGATGAGGCAAGTTCCAAAGAAAGAGGTGGGGAGGGGAGTTCATTCGAACTGCAAACGAGTCCTCGAATGTTTTATCCAGTGGGAGGTGATGCTAAAGACAGACAAAATATTGTTCTGCTCACCCCAGGGAACAGGATGAGAACCAGCGAGGAGCAGCTACCAGGAAAGAGGATATTCGTTCACAGGGAGGAGGAACTAACAGCTGGGGCTGACCATGGAGGGGTCAAAATGCAGATGCAATGCAGAGTGTCTCCTCTACTGATGGCCAGCCTCTTGGCAGGGGCGCTGCAGAGAATGTGATCTAAGCACCAGGTGGGGAGCTGTCCCACTCAGCTGCCTCCAGCTCTGGGGTTCTATGGGTCTGCGATGCCTCTACCAAGCCAGCTTGGTACAACACTGCCAGGAGAAAGGAGAGTTACTGCAGCCCTGCTACAGCATTTCTCACACAAAAGTCCGGGCCAACTTCCCTTTCAAGGCTGCGTTGCCTAGGTTCACCCACTGTGTTCAATCATCGGCCGGTGGAGACTATCTCTGCACGTCCAGGCCCATGAGAAACCCTTGAATAAAATTTTATTACCACAGAAAGCTTAACAGGCTAGTATTAAACAGGATTTCTGCTGGTGAACAAGAAAGCAAAGGACTGCAAGCATCTATTTTGAATGCTTAGTTAGGCCAGGAGGCATTCTGCATTAATTGCATGGCCTGGTTAACAGCAAGTTACCAGCTCATACCAAATATGGATGCACATTTTCCGGAAGATTGGATTACAAAAAGCTCTATTACAATAAAGCTGTACTGAGTACAGTTTCGTCCTTCTTGGGTGACCTGGTGTCTTGCAAGGCACCTTAAGGTGAAAACTATGAACATCAATTTCATGGTGCAGTTTTGTAAAACAAACTAGTTTTCCATTTTTAGACGTGCATGTTACAGACAAAAGGATGTGAATCCAGTGAAGAAACACCACATAGGAAAAAAAGCAAGTCTACTAGATACACAGATACTATCCTAACGTTACTGGTAAATTAGAAACTTTCCACTGTCCTCTTATAAGGTTATTGTTTCATCTTCACAAGCATTCATTGAGTTTCTACTGTGTGTTAGCATGGTGCTAATCATCAGTGATATAAACTGAATGAAGAAGAGAAAAAATGAGGTATTCTAACCTTGAAAACTTCCTAAGATTCATAACGTTATTTTTTGAAGAGCATTTGCCACTGATTATTGAAAAAATGATAAATTCAGCTACCTTCTTGCCCAATAAACGAGATTATTTCGCTTGTAGTGTCCAGAGGTTATACATATATAAAGACTGACCTTAGAATGTTGGCCTAGATTGTTGTCTCATCTCCTGTAATATTCCAGGTATTCAAATTACTGCTTACATAAAAGAGAAAGGGAAAAGAAATTTTCCCAAGCTCATAAATGAATATTAAAGTAAACCTCTTCCCATTACAGAATGGATCTTAATTATACAACTACAACCTCACAACAGTGAAACAAAAGAAATCCATAAAACCAGATTCTGAGGCCACTGGAATATTTGGATGCGACAGTAAAACGGTCACACGCAAGTTACATTTCATATGCCATTGCTCAACCATAAATATACGCAATGCTTTCTTAGTCTCTTTCTTTTCAGGATACCACAGGCTTCAATCTTTTCGAAATTTAGGTCATGCCTCTCTCATCATACGACATCCTGAGTAAGTCACATCTTAAATGGTGCCAAGACCCGTCCGCCTTTGATATCCAATCTTACAATACTTTTCCCCCATCGCTTTTTGACCCACCTACCTACTTACAGCCCGGGTCCTAAAATCCACGTTTTACAAAGCTTGCGAACTGTATTCCCTTTCAATAAAATGAACAACTCACAAAAACAGCTTCTATTTTGTTTGGTTTTCACCGAACCACCCTTATTATTTCCAGCACGCATTTACCGGCGCTGCCTGGAGCGCACATCCCTGATTGTTCTGTCTATCTGGGTACTAAGTCTGCTCCCAATAACGGAAATTACGGCTAAACCTTCAAAGGGAAGATTCACACTGGCCTCAGCACTCACACACGTGGCTCCTAGGAGCATCTTGATATTTCTGTGCTCGAACAGTAGGAGATAACATTCCTCAGTCAAAATGAGAAACTGACATCTTCCAAAGAAGAGAACACAAAAAACAAAACCCCCAAAGTACAGAATACTGTTTCCAAGTGTCACTGACCCGAGTCCCAGGCCCTAGTCTGTGCTGGCGATGGTCAGATCAGATTGTGCCTACATCGAGCCCCCAAATGCATCAGCGCTCACTGATTCTGTTATTTCTAGCCAGCTGTGTGAGCCTGCGGAATCACCTAACCTCTCGGGGCCTCAACTGCCTCGTCTGTAAAACCAAGAGTACAAAGGCACCTTCCAGCGCTAATGTTCTTCGGGTCTAGGAAATAACGCGGGTAGAAGAGGCCGCTGTCCTGAATGCTCTCTCTGCGAGACTTGCAAAAGTGAAACTCCGATTAAAGACCATGAAATGAGGGGGGACAACGAAAAAGTCCTCTAAGGCCCTCTTCCACATTTTGATTCTAACTCCGAGAGAGTGAGGCATGACCAGGCAATCGGTCATAAAACATCAGTGGGTCTCATAGCTCTCACAACACTGTGTTTCCAAAGGCCAATTCTGCTCTTGCAAAACAATTCTTCATTATCTTCCAAGGCCCTGCCTTGAAATGTAGAATGACTTCACTGCAAGGGCAGAATGACTTTATCTATGTTCAAGAGGCCCTTCCCCTTCTATGGGCAACTGGTCCCTCTCAAGGAGTCCCAGCCTCAGGCCCCATTTCTCTGAGCCAACGACACTCCACGAAGCAAGAATTCAAGAAAGCCACACCTACCCTCAGCCACTGCTTCTCTGTGAGGGCGTCGCTGTAGTCCACGTCCCGGCGCTGGCGAGACCCCCTCCCGAAGATCTTCTCTTCCTCTTCCTCACACGTCAGCCGTTCCACCTCGGCGTCATCTTTAATAATCCAGGAGGGCAGCTCATCCTCCTCCATCAGGCGGGGCTTGCGTTTTGGGTTCCGGGCATCCTCCCTCCGCCGGTCCATGTCCATGCGCTGGAGGGATGAACAGAAGTGTCACCAAAGGGAAAGGGGGATTCGGTAACAGTGTAGACTTGCAGCGCGTAAGTCTTCACAAGTCACCTCTGTGGCTGCAGGGTCCCTTCAGCTTCTCCCATGGAGCCTCTGTATCCTGGCTGACTTGTCCTAGCTCGTCGCCAAGGCCCAAATCTCTTCCCTTCCCCTGTACCCATCTTTGAAATTTACTTATGCACTTAAAAAAATACTCTTTAGAAAATTCCTTTTCTTAGTCTATGTGGGTGCAAAAGCTTCCCCTTAAGTAATAGTGAGAAAATTCAAATTGGGGATGTATTTTAAAAATGATTACAGCAGGGCTTCCCTGGTGGCGCAGTGGTTGAGAGTCCGCCTGCCGATGCGGGGGACACGGCTTCGTGCCCCGGTCCGGGAAGATCCCACATGCCGCGGAGCGGCTGGGCCCGTGAGCCATGCGCGTCCGGAGCCTGTGCTCCGCAACGGGAGAGGCCACAGCAGTGAGACGCCCACGTACAGCAAAAATAAATAAATAAATAAAAATAAAGATGATTACAGCATAAATTGATAGAACATTGTAAATCAACTATACCGCAATAAAAAAAAAAATGAGCCCTGGTAATACAACTCATTGCTGCACTGGCATAGAAGTATTCTTCAAGCATATAAAGGGGAAAGTTCATTAAGAAAATTTCCTTTACCTCAATTGGGTTCATGCTTTTAATTAAAGAGCCAGGAAAGAAAAAAATCAGCCACTCAGTGTCACTATAAAATAGCCACCCTCGGTTGGACTCAGACATGTGGGCACATAACTGGTTTATTAATCAGTTGGCCATTAATGCATTGAATTTTTAGTGCACCCTGGGCTCTGGGAGAGGAATGTCCCTCAATTCTTTAGCTTTCCAAAAGCTTAGCTCTTATGAAAATATCATGCCACAGAGTGACAGACCTCAAAGGTAATCTCATCTCAACTGATATAAGTGAAATGGCTTCCTTTCAACAGCCTTCAAAATGCCTATTTCCCCACCTCCTGCTTTCTTTTTTTAAAATCCAGTGCGCTAGTAAATAAATTAAGTGCCACATACTTGCCTTTAACCTATAACTAAACAATTTGATGGTTAAAGAAAAACAAATAAAACCTCCACTGAATTGTTATATACATTAGTTATATGTATATATCACTGGCTAGACCATTTCTACAAGTGAATAGACCATTAACCATTAAATGATTTACCTTTTGCCTCTTTCTTCCTTCAGTTCTACCGTACTGAAACAGGGACTCAACACTAATTTTTTCTTAAGAGCTGAGAGTGGTAGCAAAATGTAAATGAAATTTCTATTTAAATCCAAATTCGACCTCTAGAATCTATTTAAAGTTCAAAGTTACTTAAACTATGCTTCAACATTTTTGGAAATCATTGTATTCCCAAGATGGGGTAGGCTTGGAGCATGGTGGAGTCCTATTGGTAGATAAATGTGGCCGTTCTGTTCTGTCATATGCTATAGTTAGCTGGAGAGGCTGCTCTTAATCCTGCCTTCTAATGCTCTGGATTCAGAAATGGGATCCACAAAACCTTCGTAATTAGCACACAGAGGATGCCTTGTTAACAGCACAACCTAAAGAGGGGCTTCTCACGGTAGTCTCCTAACAGTTATTAGATAGCTATCAAGAAAAATCATTTTTTTGTTACGGCACTACACAGAGATGACAAAATACTGCCACTTCAATTTTTGGTTATACGATTACCACGTCCTGTACCGAGGACTTGTAAAATGACTTATGCCATGCATTAGTCCACAATTGAGAAAATAAATCTCTTCTAATACAGAAGAAAATAAATTGCACTTGCTTTTTGTTTTTTCTTTTAGGAAAGACCCCCCCCCCCCAAAATTTTTC